ACTATATTCCAAAGAAGAATGCCTTAAGGGCTCCCCACAGAAAATGAGGGTCTGTGGGGTACCCCTCCGCAGCCATTAGAGCAGCACCTAGTAAATGAGTGGTGATACTGCTGCTGTTGCTGCTGCTGCTGCTCCTACTTCTGCTGCTGCTGCTGCCATTGCTGCTGCATGTACTGCTGCTGTTGCTGCTGCTATTGCTACTGCTGCTGCTGTTGCCATTGCTTCTGCTGCTGCTGCTGCTGCGGCGTCGTCCACTTTCGCCGCAGCAACTATCTCTATGGCCGCTCGTGATGCTGCTGTCGATGGAGCTTCTGCTGCTGCTGCTGATGCTGCTGCTGCTGCTGCTGCTGTACGATTTTGCTGCTTGTTCGCCTATATAGCCTCTCGGGTTTCACAGAAGATGGCGACATTAGTCCTCATCAGCCTCAGCTGCCCCTGCGCAGAACCCTAAACCCTAAACCCTAAACCCTAAACCCTAAACGCTAAACCCTAAACCCTCGAATTTAAATCCCTTCTGTGCCCTAGAACCGTTTTAGCAGCAAAGGGTTTGGGCCCGTGAGCCTCAGGAGACACAGTGTAGGGTTTCGGTGTGCAGGCAGCACGAAAGCGAGGCTAGGGTTCAGGGTTTAGGGTTTAGGGTTTAGGGTTTGGGAGAAAGGGTTTGGCGGACGTTTCTTCTCTTTCTTCTTGAGCTTGTCTTCTTTTATATGTCTTGAAATCTTTTGCGCGATTTCTCGTGCTGTCATATTTTGGCCAAAGAAATCCTTGAAAGACCCGTCGAGGCCTGCAACGCAAACCCTAAACCCTAAACCCTAAACCCTAAACCCTAAACCCTAGACCCTAAACCCCAAGCCCTGGATTTCCGGCTGCAGCTGTTCTAGCAGAACGCAATTACAGAGCTTCTGCTGCACAGCAGCTAGCTGGGCAGCCGAGCAAAGCGCGAAGCCTAAACCCTAAACCCTAAACCCTAAACCCTAAACCCTAGACCCTCGGCGCACCCATGAAGTACTGTATGATAGAATGGTCCACGAGATACTCCTCATCTCCTGTCTTCGCTGTCTCGTTGAAATAAACCCTAAACTTGCGCGTCACGTCTTTTATTTGGCCCTGAGAGCCACAAACCCTAAACCCTAAACCCTAGACCCTAAACCCTAAAACCCCAAACCCTAGGGTCTTAGCAAAGCTGCGGCTTGGGCGCCAGAGCCAACGGGAGGCAGCGTCAGCTGCAGTAGCTGTAGAAGCAGCAGCAGCAGCAGCAGCTGCAGCAGCAGCAGCAGCAGCAGCAGCAGCAGCAGCAGCAGCAGCAGCCACAGCAAATGGACAGCACGCCAAGTGGCGCAGCAGCTGAGCCCCGCAGCAACTACACAAATGGCAAACTCCAACAGCAGCAGCAGCAGCGGAAAAAACAGGAACAGCCGCAAAAGAACAACAGCAGCAGCGGCAGCAGCAATAGCAACAACAGCAGCAACGGCAGCAGCAACAACAGCAGCAGCGGCAGCAGCAACAGCAACAACAGCAGCAGCTGACACAGGTGATGTGAGCTCTGCACCAGGAGCAGGAGCAGCAACAGGAGCAGCATCAACAGCGGCAAAAGCAGCAACAGCAGCAGCGGCAACAGCAATAGCTGCAGCAACAGCAATAGCTGCAGCAACAGCAGCAGCAGCAGCAACAGCAGCAGCAGCAGCAGCAGCAGCAGCTGACCGGGGTGCCCGTCAGTCCGACAAGCCTGGGGTGGAACTCTTTGCAGTAAGCAGCAACTTGGGCCACAGTGTCTCTTGCAGGGTCCACTGCAGCAGGAAAAAGAAATAAACCCTAAACCCTAAACCCTAAACCCTAAACCCTAAACCCTCAGTGGGAGCAAAAAGATTCAAAAGATAACAGAGGCGCCTAAAGGAAGTGTGGGTATTTAACTGGAGAAAAAAAAGAACGAAAGAATGAATTTTATCTACTTATTTATTATTATTAATTAAATAATTAATTAAATAATTAACTAAATAATTAATTTAAAAACTAATTAATTAATTAATTAATTAATTAATCTATTTATTATTTATTTTTCTATTTATTGATCCCTTGGACTCACCTGTTATGAAGATGGGCTGCACGACTTCTCCGTGCTCTTTGTCTGCAAACACAAACCCTAAACCCTAAACCCTAAACCCTAAACCCTAGACCGTAGACCCTTCTGAGCAGCCAGAATTTAAGGAAGGGTCTCGTTAGTGTGGAGGCTCAAGACTTGTGAGGGTTTAGGGTTTTTGAAGTTTGCGAGAGTTTACGAATTATGAGGGTTTAGGGTTTGCGACACTGCACGGCTTATGAGGGTTTAGGGTTTATGAGGGTTTAGGGTTTATGAGGGTTTAGGGTTTATGAAGGCTTGCGGTTTGAGAGGGTTTAGGGTTTATGAGTGTCCAGGGCTGGCAAAGCCCCGTTTTCGGGTTTCCGCGCGCGCCCGCGCGCGCCTGCAACTCGGCTTCAGGGTTTAGGGTTTAGGGTTTAGGGTTTAGGGTTTAGGGTTTGGACCGATGAGTTCGACGACTTGGGCCATTTTTTCGAGTTCTTTGGGACAAATGTCCGGACAAAAACTAAACCCAAAATATATGAGAGGGTAAAACCCTAAAAAGTCTCTGCTGCTGCAGAGGGCCCCCGAGGAGTCCACGAGGGTCCAGGGGCCCCCCAGCAGCGGCCGCCCCACAGCCAGCGTTTCCGTAATTGCTGCAGCAGCAGCAGCAGCAGCAGCAGCAGCAGCAGCAGACAGCGCACTATCTCTTTTGCTGCTGCTGGAGCAGAAGCAAACACCCCACAGTTTCTCTTGCTGCTGCTGCTGCAGCAGCAAATGCCCCGCAACCTCTTTTGCTGCAGCAGCAGCAGGCACCCCACAGCATCTTGTGCTGCTGCAGCAGCAGGAAACAAATGCCCTACAGTCTCCCTTTTGCTGCTGCAGCAGCAAAAGGAGACAAGACAAAGACTGTCTCCTCCTGCTGCTGCAGCAGCAGGGGACGGAAATGGTGTGCAGCAGCAGCACAAAGGAGTGGAAGCAAGGAGCAGCAGCAGCAGCAGCAGCAGCAGCAGCAGCGAAGCAAGAGACTCAAACAGAAGCAAAAGGCAACAAAAAGAAAATAAAAACAGGAGAAAGGAAGCAGCAAAAAAAGGACAAAAGAAAAAAAATAAAGAAGACACAAAAAGGCCAAACAGGGAGTTGCTGCAGCAGCAAAAGCTGCTGCTGCTCCTACCTGCCTTTTGCCTCTTCTTTCGCTCCATCTGATAAAACAAAAGCGCCGTTATCGCACTGCAGCACACAGCAGCAGCAGCAGCAGCAGCAGTAGAAGCAGCAGCAGCAGCAGCAGCAGTAGGTGAGCAGCAGCAGCAAAAGCTGCGGCAGGGACAGGGCCACAAGCGCAGCAGCACGAAGCAGCAGCTGCAGACGCAGCAGCAGCGGCTGCAGCACGGGAAGCGGCGAACCAGCAGCAGCATCTACAACAGCAGCAGCAGCAGCAGCAGCAGCAGCAGCAGCAGCAGTTCTCACGCGCATGCTGCGCTGCAGAGAAGAGACACTCTCCATGTGACGAGGCGAGGAGACGAAGGAGGCAGAGAAGCTCTGGGGGGAGCTTCTGCTGCTGCTGCTGCTGCTGCTGCTGCTGCTGCTGCTGCTGCTTCCAACTCGTGGCGCTGGGCTGCGCGTGCTGCTGCAGCCTCGACACTGGGGTACCGCAAAGCACTCAGGTCTGGCCGGGCAGCAGCAGCAGCTGCTGCTGCTGCTGTCTTTGCTGCAGCATCAATTGCTGCTGCTGCTGCTGCTGCTGCTGCTGGAACGTCGGTTGCTGCAGTGCCTTGGCGCGCATATTCTTGGGAATGCAGCTGGACATGGTCCTGTTGCTGCTGCTCTTGCTGTGGTTGCTGCTGCTGCTTCTCTTGCTCTTGCTGCTGCTGCTGTTGCTGTTGCTGCTGCTGCTGCTGCTGGTTTTGTGAGTCCCCTGTGCTCGGAGGCCTAAGGCTTGTTGAAAAAGAGCTGCTGCTGCAAACGCCCCACAGACTTTGCTGCTGCAGCTGCCGGAAGCTGCTGCAGGGGAAGGGCCTGGCGCAGCTGCTGCTGCAGTAGCTGCTGCAGCAGCGGCTGCTGCTGCTGTAGCTGCTGCTGCTGCTGCTGCAGCTGCTGCTGCTGCTGTGCAGGCACCCCGTCGCGACAAGGGGGTACACGATCCTCCGCTGCAGCGCGGTCTGTAGAGACACATGCTGCTGCAGCTGCTGCTGCAGCTGCTGCCGCAGCAGCAGCAGGGCTGCTGTGCTTCTGCTGTTGCTCATTCTGCTGCCGGAGCTGCTGCTGCTGCTGCTGCTGCTGCTGCTGCGGCCCGGCCTTTGCCACTGCTGCGCAGCCGCAGTCAAAAAGTGTGCAGCAGAAAGTTGAAACTGCGAGCGCAGCAACCGGAGTGCCTGGAGCCTCTGTTGCTGCTGTTGCTGCTGCCGCTGCTGCTGCTGCTGCAGCTGCTGCTTCTGCTGCTGCTGCTGCTGTTTGTCTGGCCCTAACCAGCCACAAATAGTAAACAAGGCAGCAAAACTTTGTTAATAAAGAACAGAATTTATTAAAAGAAGCCGCGGCCCAGCATTCCATGGGGCTGAGGATACCCTGAGGGGGCCCCTGGGGGCCCCCAGGGGCCCCCACGGGGCCTCCGGGGGCCCCCTGGGGCCCCCTGGGGAAGGCCCCAAGGGGGCCCCCCAGGTGGGCCCCTTAGACGATGAAGATATGCGCTGGGATCGATTTTTGAGTGGGATCGGATCCCCGAATGGACTGGGATCGGATCCCAGCTTCGTTTCCGGTTCGTGGGGCTCAAGTTTCTGCAGACTCTTCTGTTTCTCTTGTTTCACAGAGGGGCCCCCGGGGGCCCCCGGGGGCCCTTGGGGCCCCTGGGGTCCCCTTGGGGCCCCCTAGCGAGTCCTAGGGGGCCCCCAGGGGCCTCCAGCGCATTGCTGACCCTGTATAGCCGCTAAGATTTCTGCGGGTTTTTTAAGGGGCCTTGAGACCCCCGTAGAAACAAATGGCTAGCTGGCTAGCTAAAGCTAGCCGTAGTCTAGTGTGGCTAGCTACGGCTAGCTGTGGCTGGCTCTGGCTAGCTATAAGTGGCTGTGGATAGCTGCGGCTAGCTGCGACTGGCTGTGGCTAGCTTCGGCTAGCTATGGCTAGCTGGGGCTAACTGCGGCTAGCTATGGCTACCCGTGGCTAGCTGGAGCTAGCTAAGTCTGGCTGTAGCTGGCTGTGACTGGCTGTGGCTAGCTAGCCGCGGCCAGTGACTGTTAGCTACAGCTGAGGCTAGTGGCTATTGCCAGCTAGCTGGGGCTAGCTGGGGCGGTGGCCGTGGCTAGCTATAGCTAGCTGTCAGTAGCTGTGGCTAGCTAGCTGCGGCTAGCTGGGGTTAGTCGCTGTGGATAGCTAGGGCTGGCTGTGGGTGACTGTGGCTAGTTAGCTGCGGCTGGCTGAGACTAGTGGCTGTGGCTAGCTGAGCCTAGTGGCTGTAGCTAGCTAGCCCTAGCTAGCCACAGCCACTAGGCTTAGCTAGCCGCAGCCAGCTAGCCAGCAAACCAGCTAGCCACAGCCACTAGCTCAGCTAGCCACAGCTAGCCGAGCTAGTGGCCGTGGCTAGCTGGGGCTAGCTAGCCATTTGTATCTGCTGCTTGGAGTCTTTAAGGCTGAACCCATGTGTCTGTACACTGCAGCGCTGCTGCTGCTTTTCTGGGCTGAGGCCGTACAGCTTTTTGGCTCAGCTGAGCCTAGGGTTTAGGGTTTAGGGTTTAGGGTTTTGCGCAGCTGCAGCTCGGCAGAAGCCGCTCTTGGCCGTCCGCGACTCTTTCTATGGTTTAGTGTTTAGGGTTTATGCCAAAGGGTCTAGGGTTGACCGTTTAAGGGTTTAGGGTTTAGGGCTAGGGCTTATGACAAAGGGTCTAGGTTTGACCCTTTAAGGGTTTAGGGTTTAGGGCTAATGGCCCTGCGGACCCAGCCTGAGGCCCTTAGGGTTTAGGGTTTAACAATTATTCTGAATTTTCTCTGTCTCCTTTCAATTCTTTTGCCTCTCCTTTTACAGTTGTTTCCCTTTTCTCTTTATAAGCCCCTTTTTGGGCACTACCCCACACAGGGGCCCCAGGGGGGCCCCTGGGGGAACTTGGGGGCCCCCCAGGCTGCCAGGGGCCCCTCAGATTGCCCCTAGGGGCCCCTGCGGGCCTGGCAGTGGCCGGGGGCCCCTCAGATCCTCAACATCTTGGGGGCCCCTGAGGGGCCCCTGAAACCCTCTATGACTCTCTAGGGCTCTTTATAGAACCTGGGGGGGCCTCCAAGGTCACTAGGCCTCTCTCGGGGCCCTTGGAGGCCCCCCAAAGCCCAAGGGGGCCCTTCAAAGCTCCTGAGGGCCCCTGGGGGCCCCTCCAAGCTGCTGGGGGGCCCCTGGGGTTCACTGGAAGCTCTTGAGGCTCTTCAGAGCGGCCTGAGGGCTCCTCGGGTCTCGTGGGGGCCCCTAAGGTCTCTTGTGGCTCCTCAGAGCTCATGGGGGCCCCTGCTAGTGGCACTTGTCATATATTGGCTGGAGTTGACTGCATGCAGTGGAAAGCCCCAAAGAAATGGGTGAAAAGAAAAGGCCCTGGAGACTGAGGCAGCTGCTTAGGCCCAGAGCTGAGCCCCGCGGCTTGCAAATAAGGGCAGCGGGGGCCCCCCTGGGCCCCCTTGGTGGGGCCCTGGGGGGCCCCCGTGGGCCCTTTTTGGGGGGCCCCCAAGAGCAACTGGGGGTCCCCTGGGACCCCTCAAGGGGCTCTTGTCGGGGCCAGCTATGGGGCCAAGCAGCAGCTGCTATTTCCATGTTAAGGGGAAACTTGCTGGGGTAAGAGATAAACAGAGATAGAGGGAGAGAGCGGTGGGCAAAAGAAGACAAAAAGAAGCAAAAAGAGGCAAAGAAAGACAAAAAAGGGACAAAAAAGAAACAAAAGAGGTATAAAAGAGACCAAACAGAGACCGAAGAGAAGTTCAGATGAGGAAATGAGACAAAAAGTGTCAAAAGAGAATCAAAAAGGACAAAGAGAAGCCCAAAAGACGAAAGAACCAGGGTAGTCGAAGAGGAAGAAGAGGCTGAAACAGGGACAAAAAAGGGACAAAAATGGTGGGAAAAAGGCGAAAAATAAACAAAATAAATAAAAAATAGGGAAGAGAACAAAAAAGGTGAGAAAAGAAGAAAAAAAGGGCAGAAAAAGGATCAAAACGACAAAAAGACATCAGAGAAACGCGGGGAGCGGATGGTGCTGCTGCAGGTGTCGGCTGCAGCAGCGTAGCCCTGATCTGTGTCTCATTTTGCCGAGCAAATGTGAGCAAGAGAAGCAGATATTTTAATAAATTAAATAAAATAAAAAAGAATTTAAATGCACAAAAAAGAAACTCAAAAGACTGCAAAAGCGTGCAGGACATGGTGTCGATACACCCTAGACCGCTGGAACCGCAGGACCGCCCGGGGCCCTTGAGCGGCTGGGGGCCCTTTAGGGGTTATGTCTTCGAATAACAAATTATAATTTAAGTAATTATTAATTATTTATTTTTTTGAATCCTTTTAAGACCAGCCGAGCCCCAAGAGTGTCCAGACACAGTAGCAAATGGAACCAGCAGCACTGCTGCCTACGCGCAAGCGCTAGCTTGAAAAAATGAGTAATGTCTTCCCGAACCCTAAACCCTAAACACTAAACCCTAAATCCTCAGCTCAAAACCCTAAACCCTAGCTGGCTGAGCTGGTGGGTCCGGCGGCGTTGTCCTGTCCGGCTACTTCGCCGCTGGTGCTTCAGTGTTTGGGTTTTCTAAGAGTGCAGGGGGTTTAGGGTTTAGGGTTTAGGCCTTGAGGTTGAGGTTTTCGGATTCCTGTGAACAAACCCACCCAGCATGGGGTGTTTTGCTGCAGTCTCGCGAGCAGCAGCAGCAGCAGCTTCTGCTGCTGCTGCTGCACTTCTGCTGCTGGCAGTGTCTATACACTGCGAAGACTCTGGTAAGCAACAGCTCTGCGTAGTGGTATCTGTACACCTGAGCTGGGTTTGTCTAACTCGCATGCCACTGAAGCCCTTTAGTCGTTTTTTGTTTCTGTTTTATCTCTCTTTTTGTCTATTTTGTTTCTCTTTTTGTCTATTTTGTTTCTCTTTTTGTCTCTTTTTGCCTTCTTTTTATTTCTTTTTTGTCTTTCTTTTTCAGATCTTTTCTCGTAGAGGCTGCAGCCCCAGCCGTCTTCTTTGTCTCCTCTTGTTGCTGCTGCAGTGTCTCCTCAGTTGCTGCCTCCTCATGCTGCGCCTGGGGCTTTTTTTTGCCTTCTTTTGCCTCTCTTTTATTTCTATTTGTTGTAACATTTTATATTTATTGGTTTTTTCATTTCCACCTGCTTCTTTGTCTTTCTATTGTTTGTAGCATTTTATATTTATTGGCTTTTTTCGTTTGCTTTTTTCTTTTTGTCTTCAGATTCAACAGCAGACCTGGTCAGAAGCCAAAGCCATTTTTGCTGCCACTGCTGCACTTGGGGTGTCTAGGCAGCTCTTCGGGTGTACGGGCAGCTCTGTTCAAACGCTCTGGTGTCTAGACAGCGTTTTGCATGGAGTTGATGTGCCAGGGCCGTTCTCCTTAGCAGTTGGACTGTAAAAGCTCGTTTGTGCATTTCTAGGGTTTGTGATTTAGGGTTTAGGGTTTGCGGCTGTGCCTCAACACATTTTCTGCGTGTTGTTGAGGAGGTTTAGGGTTTGTGGAGTGGGCTAGGGTTTAGGGTTTGGCGCTGAGGTTTTGGGGGTTTGTTGTTGCGTGTTGGAGGGTTTAGGGTTTGTGGAGTGGGCTAGGGTTTAGGGTTTGGCGCTGGGGTTTTGGGGGTTTGTTGTTGCGTGTTGGGGGGTTTAGGGTTTGTGGAGTTGGCTAGGGTTTAGGGTTTGGGGCTGGGGTTTCGCTGCAGAGTCTGGGCCGGCTGAGCCTGCAGGAGCTGCTGGACCTCGAGTGCCTCGCCCTCAGCCAAGCCCGCTGCCAGCAGGGGCAGCTGCAGCACTGCAGCACTCCAGCATCTCGGGCTCGCCTGTGGGGCCCCTCGGGGGCCCCCAGTTGTTTTGGGGGCCCCGAGTTGGACTTGGCCCGCAGCGGCCTCCACTGCCTGGGCAATTGCGGCGAGGCTGTCTTCTGCAGGGGGGCCCCCGACCCGGAGGGGGCCCCCCTCTTGCCCCTCCCCTCTGAGCTCCGAGATCTTCTACACTCCCACACCCAGCGCTGCTGCCAGCAGCACGCTTACAGGGTAAGCACTTAGGGTTTAGGGTTTGCGTCCTCGCGAGCCGCGGGGGTTGGCCCGCCGCGCGAGGGTTTAGGGTTTGGGCCTTCACGCGAGCAAGTGGAGTTTGCGCACTCAAGGGGGGGTTGGGGGTTAGGCCGCGGGATGAGGGTTTAGGGTTTGGATCTAGGGCGAGGGCTTAGGGTCTGGGCCGCGCGGATAGGGTTTACGGTTTTGAGCCCGGGGGGAAGGGTTTACGTTTTGAGAGTTTACTGGAAGAGGGTTTAGGGTTTACGCTGCTGGGAGAGGGTTTAGGGTTTACGCTGCTGGTAGAGGGTTTAGGGTTTACGCTGCTGGTAGAGGGTTTAGGGTTTACGCTGCTGGTAGAGGGTTTAGGGTTTAGCTGCGAGGCGAGGTTCACAGGGCAGTGTGCTGGGCCCAGGGTTGGGTTTAAAGCCGAGGGTTTGGGAATTAGGGGCTTGGGGGCTCACGGGGCCATGCTGCTAGGGTTTAGGGTTTAGTACTTAGGGTTTAGGGTTTAGTATTTGGGGTTTAGGGTTTAGGGCCGCTCTCTGAGCTGAACGCGTGCGCCTCCTGTCCCCGCCGGTCTGTCTCTGCTTTTCTTTTTTCTTTTATCTCCTTTCTTTGCATTTTCTTTTGTTTCCGTCTTTATCTTTTTTTGTTCTCTTCTTTTGTCTCCATCTCAATCTCTTTTAATCCCTTTTTGCTTTTTCCTTTTTCTTTTGTCGTTTTCTTTCGCTTTTCTTTTCCCTTTTTTCTGTCTCCTTCCCTTGTGTCTTTATTGTCTCTTCTCTCCCTTTCTTTTTTCTTTTCTTTTTTTTCCCTTATCTTTCCTTCCTTGATTCGTTTTTCTCTTTTTGTGTCCCCTTTGCTGTCTCTCTGTGCTGTTGCTCGGCCCCGCTGCTGCTGCTGCTGCTGCTGCTGCTGCTTGTCTCTTTCGGTCACCTTTTGCTTCCCTTCTTCGTTGTGTCTTCCTTGTCTCCCCTGAACCTCCGGACTCTGCTGCTGCTGCTGCTGGTGCTGCTGTTGTTGCTGCTGCTGCTGTTGCCGTTGCTGTTGCTGTTGCTGTTGCTGCAGCGGCCGCCTCCGTGGCTGGCCGTAGAGTCGCTGGAGTGCCCTTTGTGTGTCTTTGTCTGGTGTCCCCCAGAGCTGCTGCTGCTGCAGCTGCTGCTGCTGCTGCATGCGTTTCGCCGCAGCTCACTGCGAGTCTTTGTCTGGTGTCCCCCAGAGCTGCTGCTGCTGCTGCTGCTGCTGCTGCTGCATGCGTTTCGCCGCAGCTCACAGGCCTCATGCTGCGGAGTTCTCTTCAAAAAATCCTCGACGGCAAGTGCCTCGAGGAGTTCGCGGAGAAGTGCCAAAAGGACCCTCAGGGGGACTTCTGTCGCCCCGCAGTGGCCCGCCAGGTGGAGGTGGCCCCGGGGGCCCCCGGGGTTTTGGGGGGGGCCCTCGAGGGGGAGCCCAGGGGGGCCTCCGGGGGCCCCCAGTGGCGCTGCTATGCAGCAGCAAGTCTCAACTTTGCTGCTGTTTCCACGGAGTGCACAGACGACTGCGGGGAGCCCATGAACTGCTTAGGGGCCTCAAATTCCCAAAGCAAATTCTTTCTTGAAGTTCCTGATTTGCAAGTTCTTCTTGAAAATTACCAGCCGGCCACTTGCATTATGGCGGTCAGTAGGCCTGCATGCGCCTGCAGCGCCAGTGTGGTCCACTGGTCTTGCTGCTGCCCCACAGTGTGACCAGCGCTGCGCCGATTAAGGGTATTTTCTTTGTTTCCTTTTCTATCTTTTCCCGTCTCTAAAGACCAAAAAAGAAGTATCTGCAGTCATTTCTCTTTTTGTTTTTCCTACCTATCTCCTCAGATTAAAGTGCTGGGCTGCTTCTTGTGCTTTTAGGAAAGGACTTAAAATGGGGCTTTTGGACGCATGCAGAAAGGTGGCTGTCGTGGGCGCGAAACTTGAAGTGTCTGTACACCCCAGGCAGCAGCCCTGTGGAGTCTTGTCTTCTCTTTCCGTTATCACACTTGGGCCAAAAGGGAGACAGAGGCATTTCGCTTTCACCCAAGGACTCTGGAGGCAACTGTGGGGTCCTAGTGGCTAGCTACAGCTAGCTAGACCTGCACCTACGTAGCTGCGGCTACGGCTAGCTAGACGCGGCTAGCTGCAGCTAGCCACGGCCAGCTCCAGCTCGCTGCTGTTGGGAAGAGTCTGCGGGAGTAGTGAGACTGCCTCTGGGCCGGCTAGCGCCTCTGCCTTCCCGCATTTCAAAAGTCTAAAAAGGTTCTTGGCTAGCCGGCTAGCTAGCTAGTTAGCTTCTGCTTTGCTTGATGAGCAATTGCAGCACAAAGTTGGCCCTGTGCACAGGCAGCATGGGTTTTTCTAAAGTGTAGTTTGTTTCCCTCTAAAAAGACCATCTGCCGGTTCCTGCGGGCGCAGCTCCACCCCTTTGAAGTGGGGAGCTCAAGTGGCTTTCGAAAATGTTCGAAATATGAATACCGAGCAGCTCTTTTATATTTTTCGCGTTTGCATGCGAGACTGGCGCTTCTATTTCTCGGAGTTCAAGTTTATTGTTTCTTAAAACTGTGCTTGAGGCGCAGTTTCTGTCTCCGGAGTGTACGGACAGTAGCCTGCAGCGGTCTTTTGCCGGAGAACGAGGCGAAAAGATCTCCAGGTGACCCCGCCATGAAGCCGGAGTAAAGAGGCTCCTCTGCAGGGACTGAATGAGGAAATAAGCAGTACAAATAATTCCTGGAGGCGATCAGTTCAGTGCATGCTGTACATACACCCCATGACTTAGCTGCAGGGCTCCAGAAAGGAACCGATATTGCGAGAGAAGAACTGTAGAAGGCCCTTGGGGGCCCTTCGTTGCTTTCTCTCTAGCCATAAAGGGTCTTTTTGTGAGTTTTCAAGTTTATTTCGTAGTGAAATTGGACTTGAAGCTGAAGGAAAGAGGCACACTCTCGCATGCAGCTTGCGGCGTGCGGTCCCGAGGCTGTGTGTCCAGTGGCTAGCTGCAGGCCAGTGGCCCATGTGGGGCCTTTCTGGCGCGCCTTTTTTCAGGATCTGAATAAATTTAGTTAATTTTGAGTTTGAAACAAACAATTATGGAGAAGCATGCGGGAAGCCTTGAGAAGGCACCATGGGAGCGTCGACGACGCTGAAGACCGCGTCGGCAGCGGCGGCGCCGCTGCGTGCCAAAGGCTTGATCTTCCTACTACTTGCAAATGGAATTGTTTTTTGTAAGTTTTATTTCTTTCTAAAGAGGAAGTCCCTAAAAGACACGCCCAGCAGGAAGCCAGAAAGCCCTCCTTGTTGCTGTGTCTTGCGTGTGCAGCTGCAGCTGAACAAAGAGAAAACGTGAGCGAGCCCCCGCTCGCAGTGGAAATCCCCTTTCCCTTTCATTTTATTTCCACTAAAAAGAAGCAGCAGCAAGCAGTTGCATTCATTTAATTCCCCAACAAAAGAAACAGCCGCAAGCTTCTGCATTCCTGGCTGCGGGCGCGGAACACTGCGCAGCCAGAGCTCGCCTTCAGCAGTTCTCCCCAGTGCCTTATCCCTGCGCCTCAGCCCCTGGCCGCAGCCATTTCTGCGGCTCTCTTGGCTTTCTGCAGCTTGCTGTGGTGGCTGCAGTAGCTGCTGCTGCATGCGGCCTGGCTGCAGCAGCTGCTGCTCCTGGCTGCAGCAGCTGCTGCTGCATGCGGCCTGTCCCTTCCTGGATTTCTCTTGGCGCCTCTGAGTGCTTGAGCTTCCCCCGGCGTCCGACAGCAGCCTCGGGCGCGCCCTGCTGCTGCTGCTGCTGCTGCTGCTGCTGCTGCTGCGCCCCAAGGCTCGGGCAGCGCCCCTGCCTACGTTTGTGCGCAGGTGGTGCTTGCAGTGACTCTGCAGGAACAACTGAACACCAAGTGCCACGCCCTCAGCAACCGCCTCTGCCAGGAGGGCAATACTATTCTGTGTCAAAACCCCGCAGTCTACGCGCGGCGCTTCCCCTCGAGCAGCGGCCGCCTCGGAGTCTGGCGCTGCTACGCAGGGGCCACCATGGACCTCAATGCCCACAGCCTGGCTTGCGTCACCAACTGCGGGGACCCCATGAACTGCCCGGGAATGCTCACCCACGTCTCTCCGATTTACTTCAGCAGCGACTCCGACATGGTGGCAATCATCGACCACGACAAGGTCAGGTTCTGCGGAAACTCGCGCTCCCGGGTAAGCAGCCGCTGCAGCGGCAGCCGGCGCCGGGTGCAGCAGCTGCAGCTTGTGCTGCAGCAGCGTAGATGCGCCGCTTCAAGCAGCAGCAGCGACATAGGCACTTCTGCTGCTGCTGCAGTTCCAGCTGCCTCTGAACTCACTGCTGCAGCAGCGTAAATGCGTCGCTTCAAGCAGCAGCAGCGACATAGGCACTTCTGCTGCTGCTGCAGTTCCAGCTGCCTCTGAACTCAGCCACTTACTGCTTCTGAACTCAGCCACTGACTCCTTCCGAGTCTGAGAAGGCGTCCCTCTGCTATGCATGCCCCTGGAAAGAAAGTATTGTATTTGTGACGCATAGTCCGTTGTGGGGCCCTGAGCATGCATGCGGGGCGCCGCAGCTGTCCACCACCGCGGCGGCCAGCGGCCTGCAGACGCTGCTGGACGCGGAGTGCCTGAAGCTGCACGCGAAATCGTGCATGGAAGGGCAACAGCAGTTCTGCCAGCCCGCCGTGTCGCGTTTCAAAAACGACGGGGCCTCGGGGAAGTCCTTCAGCTGCTACAAAACCAACGACCTCAACTACGCCACCACTGACAACAGCTGTGTGGACAACTGCGGCAACCCAGTCGCATGCGCTGGCGCCGTTGGCTACGCCAGCGTTTACGGCGAAGAGCAAACGAAGCTCCGCCAGGTTGTAGAAACCATGGCGGACGCTATGTGCAGCATCAGCGTAGGACTTTTGGTCGCTAAAATTCGCAGGAGTCGATTCCCATGAAGCTACATTCATGCAAACTTCTGTCTACCTTTAGATTTGCATGCCTCGCCATCAGTATACCTTCTTTATGTCCAGAATGCACGTGCATACGAGTCTGCATAAAGGCGCTTCCTTTTGCTCACGCCAGATCCCCCTGTTTTTGCGCTTGTGGCCGTGGTTACTGCTGCTGCTGCTGCCGTTGTTTTCGGTGATGCTGGTGGTGCTGCTGCTCGGCGGTGCGTGCAGGCGCGCAACTGAAGGACGGGGGCAGACGAAGCACTAGTTAGTCTGTCGTTCTGGCACACGGCCTCAACAGCATTTGGACATGGAATCTCTTATTTAGGTCCATACTTTTATTTCGTGTGCCTAACTGGTACGCGCGTTTGCCTTTTTATATGTGTGTGCACTCATGCCATTGGCTCCATCTCATTGCTCCAGTTAGGGGTGTGTGCAGAGCTACTTAATCCTCTGCTATTTGTCTCTATTTACTCGACTGCGTTTTTGTCCTTTTGCTTAATTCCAGCCAATCCAGCTGAAGGCACTTCCTGTTCATAAGTGGAGCTCTCCAGAAACCATAGGCCTGTGCCGGGTCCTTGCTGGTTCCGTGTTTTTTGTCAAGCAAGCTGTACAAACACTGCAGGCTTGCGCCTGGCTCCTGCTGACTCCTGCTTTGCACCTTCAGTATCTTCTGTTTGGGTCCCTCGAGGACTTGAAGGTAAAGCGGCAGCGATCAATTCTCCAGAAAAATCCCACGCAGACTTGGGCAGCAGCGCAGAGGGCTGTGCGGCCCTCTCTCCAGCCTGTCCAAATAACAAAGAATAAATAAAAGTTAGGAAATGAACGGCCATGAGCAATAAATGCAGAAGTGATCAGTAGGAAGTGAAATAGGTCCTAGTACAGGAGTAATCAGTAGGAAATGAATGGGTCAATATAGGTGCCGTTCAAAAACAAGAGTTAGCGTCCAGACAAAGAAAACAAACAAACAGTTAACAAAATGTAACTCTGTGTTGTTTGTGGCGGAGCATTCCGTACTCATCACCAGTAACTTCAGTTTTAATTCAATGATGTGGAATTGGGAGACTCTGTTCTTCCCGGTCTTTTGGTTGCGACTGAGGCTGTTGAAGATAGCCTTCGGAAACGTATATTTCGGGTGCTGCTCCTTTGGTCGTGGGCTACTGCTGTACTTGCTGCCGTCGCGGTGCAACAGGTTAAAGAGCCCATCCTTGTTGGTTGCCGTTTTCAGTGCTGGGAGTGTGCAGTTGAAATCGCGTGCTGCAATAAACTGTAACATGCATAGACGGAGACACTGACAGGCAGGATGACTGCGTATGAAGATGAAGATGCTGGCCTGGCCAACATTCCTAGGCAGTTAAGAGTACAGTGCTTGCAGAGCTCACCGGTGGTCGAATGAACACGACCGCACACTCCCACAAGCGGAGCAATTTCCACAAAAATGCGCTTGCAACGATGCCTGTATAAGAA